GTACACAATATACCATAATACATAAATTGCAAACAATATGGCAGCACAGGTGTATGTATGCTGTAACCAGACATCTCAGAGCTCCTTTTATCAGTTCTGGCCAGCACAGATATCTGATATTGTACCCTCAGTATATATTTCACTGCTCAAACTAACAAATATTGAAATTTGCTATCCATAAAAAGGATAGGCATATATAATAAATTGTGATACATTTTAATGTCTTTAGTTCATACTGAGAAATTGTAATTTCTGCAGTGTGTTGTTGGAAAGGAATCCATGTAAACCATTCTAACCTTGAAATGGGAACTATTATATTTCTATCTCACCTCTTCAGTAATATATAATCTATACAGAATGCCAACCCTGGATGATTAGTCACATGATGGTTCAATATTATTTTAGTCCATGATTACCATGCTTATGTTGAAGTTGATCTAATACATCACTCATGATCACTCAACCCAGCAATATTCAAATATTTTGCAGTCTGTAGTCACTCAAGAACGCTACTGATTGTGTAAATAATGTAAATATTACTCCCTACTGTTAGAAGCAATCAGTGCATATATTGTGCAATATATAAGGGTAATGGATCCATATAGTAGCCCCAGTTTGCATACGTTTGTTACTCACATCCGTTAAGATTCCTTGGTTGTGCCTGCCGCATACTATGTTTGCTGGCTCTGGTTGATGCATGAATTTCAATAAAAAGTGACCTTGTTGCTAAAATACAATTTTACATTAATTTTCCCCTGCAAAGAAAATGCTGAATACGTACCTCTCCTGCTGACATACTGTGGTAAAGAAGTTCTGGAGCAGGAAACAAACTGCAAAATTCACCACTTCCTGAAGTGTTGCTTTTCCAGCCCTCTGCTGTGGTTTCTCACTGATCCCTTTTGTCACTTTAGAACACATTATTGATGTAGGGACAGCGGATCAAACCAGTGAGTTCAGAAGGGAACCAGGAAACAGACACTTCTGGAAGTGTTAGATTATGTGGGATCCACAAGCACCAATAGCCACTACAGCAAGGAGCGGCCGTAGGGGAGATAAGTAGTCAATGCTGTCAGTGTTTTCTGGACAAGAGAAGTATGAATGTCAATGTTAAGTTTCATTTTCCTGACATAACCACTTTAAGGTGGTGGTGGTAATGACTATAACTATTCATTAAAAAAAAAAATTTACTTTAAGGGAAACAGAGATAAGTAATTCCCTCTTTGAACTTTAAAGAATGGGAGGAAGTGGTCAAAGCCTGCCTATACACAATACTCTCACGGCACCACCTGCATGGAGTTTGCATGTTTTCCCTGTGCCTTCGTGGGTTTCCTCCGGGTACTCCGGATTCCTCCCACACTCCAAAGACATGCTGGTAGGTTAATTGGCTCCTGTCTAAATTGGCCCTAGTATGTGTATGTATGAATGTAAGTTAGGGACCTTAGATTGTACACCCCTTGAGGGTTAGGGACTGATGTGAATGTACAATATATATGTAAAGTGCTGCGTAAATTGATGGTGCTATATAAGTACCTGAAATAAATAATACACTCATGGAAAGAGAAGTTAAACTGTCACTATCTCTGCATTCACTATTTCTGGTCTCCCATAGTACACAGAACATGAAAGTGCAATTATTTTAGTAAATATAAATGGCTAATTACTGGGATGCACTGACATTTTGGTGGCTGAAACCTTTCAGCCGTCGGTCAAAATGGAAAAAAAAAAAAAGTACCGATAAAGGTGCCGAAAAAACCTCGCCCCCCGCCCGATGTAAATCGCTGCCCGCCACTCAGTAGTTCAGCCTTACCTGAGAAACCATCGATCCTGGAGCAGGGCATAGAGGTGAGAGAGGAAAGATGGCGCCACACATCTCTATGCCTTTGGAGGACCAGAGCGATGTCACTTCCCGTTCCGGCCATTATTTTTTTTTTTTTTAAAAAAGCACTGTGACTAGATCAATGCTTTTTTTTTTTTTTTTTTTTTTTTTTTTTTTTTTGATCCAATGCTTTACATTGCAGAGGAGAGATATGGGGTCTTTTTGACCCCATATCTCTCCATAAAGAGGACCTATCACAAGGGATGCATGCATTTCTTGTGATAAGAATAAAAGTGATTTAACATTTTTTTTTTTTTAAAGGAACAGTGTAAAAAAAAAAAAAACCCTTTTCAATAAATTTTTTTAAAAGTTTAAAGTGCCCTAGACCACCCCCCCCCCCCCCCCCCCCCCGTGCTCGCACATAGTGGTGAACGCATACGTAGGCCATGCCCACATATGTAAATGGTGCTCAAACCACGCATGTGAGGTATCGCCACGAACGTCGGAGCAAGAGCAATAAATTCTCGCACTAGACCTCTGTAACTTTACACTGCTAACCTGTAGATATTTTTAAAGCATCACCCATGGAGATTTTTAAGTACCGCAGTTTCACGCCATTCCACGAGCGTGCACAATTTTAAAGCGTGACATGTGTGGTATCTATTTACTCGCCGTAACATCCTCTTTCATATTTTACAAAAAAATTGGGAATGTGTGTGTGTGTGTGTATATGTATGTATATATATATATATATATATATATATATATATATATATATATATATATATATATATATATATATATATATTTTTTTTTTTTTTTTAACCAAAGTGTATTTTTTAAAAAATATATATATTAATTTTTAAAAACTGTGGGTTTCGGTTTTCGGCTAAGTGCATTTTGAATTTTCGGATTCGACACCAGAATTTTCATTTCGGTGCACCACTACTAAATACCTTTTTCTTATCAGCAGTTAGAGCAGTCTTGTGACTTCTATCAGGGTCCAGAACAGCACTGTTTACAGCTTGTAGGAGCAGTTTTCATTCTGCTCAAGGAGGATGCAGAACCCCTGACCTCTGTCTGGACGGCGCTGATTGGCTCTGTGCTGGTCACATGCACATTCCCAAGGAAAAAAAAAACCTCTACCAATACACAACAGACTGAGCATGGGCAGAGTGACTCCACATATATGTGATAAGACAGATATGTCTTATCAGTAGATAAGAGGGGGACACTGGAAATAGGGGCAGATCAGAGAAGTCAGGATCAAACAGCATTTTTACACAATGCAGAGGATTAACCCCTTAGATTCCACAGTGAGTATAACAAGCATGCTTTACTGCATCTGCAGACTGATTTTACGGTTTTGGGTTTAGTAACACTTTAATTTACTTTAACTATATAAATAAGGTGTAGATAATACCCCACAAACATTTTCTGCATGGGTTAATAAAACAATAATATTTTGGGAACAGATACATCTATGCAGTACATGTCATTTGAGGATATCATAAAGTCACAATATTCTAAAACAGGATTGTTCAAATGTGTTTACATTTCCCAAGAGCTGTAATCATGCAGCATGTTTTTTGGGAGTCATGAATTCAAAGAAAATATTTATTGTTTTCTTTTATTATGATAGGAAATAAATTGTAATGAAGTGGAATCAATCCCATCCATTGGCAATAAATGAATGTATCTCACTAATAAAATGTAACTGTTTTGAGCCAAGGAACTTTATATCCTAATTTAACAACCATGTAGGCATGGGTTAAGCTCCCCACTAAATTTAGTTGGTTAACAAATGTTCAGTTTATGTGTACATTTACCTTCCGTTAATTGACCTGATTTAAAGAAAAATAATCACTGAGAGGGAAACCACTCGGGTTAAATTGTATACTTTTTGTTTCAATGTTTGTTAAAATGTAATAAAAAGCATCTTTAAAATTTTAATTTACATCTATATTTTTGTACAGGTTTTTTTTTTGTTTTTTTTTTTGTTTTATTTGTTTGGATCAGAATCAGTGACCTTTTTTAAGATCTTTGTACATATTTGCAGACATTTCAGTGTCTGGATTTGCAGTCTGCCCTTATCGTGCATTAAGACCAGTAGTTTTTTTGTATAAGATCATTATTCCCATCTTTCTGTTATTGACAGGAAAAGTTCAACTAGGAGCAGGTTCTGGATTTCAAAGTAGGATTTCCTAATTACTGCTGATCATTTTTAAGGGCATTCCAGGGCCTTTGTGATTAGGAGGGTTATTGCTGTTGTAATGCCCATCTTTTCAGAGTAAGGGCTCGGTCACACTTGACTGTTTTTCCAACTCTTGCCAAACGCCCCTATAGCGTTTGACAAGCGTTGGTCTGGCATTTGCCCCCCTGCATTTGCGGAGCGTTTTTAATGCTCTGCAAACGCTGCATGCGCGGTTTAGCGGCGGTTGCTAGGCGTTTGCCAAGCTTTAAAAATGCCCCACAAGCGCCTATAATGAAGTTTGAATGGTGTTAAAGCTCCACAAACGCACCGCAAACGCCGGCCAGGTTTTTGCGGAGCGGCACCATAGACTTGAATAGGAGGCTTCAACTCCTCCTGACTCGACGAGAGGTGTCCATTTTGCCGCGACGCTAATGCTCCCGTTTGAACAGCACCACGTGCTGCAATGTGCAGAATTTTCCCAGGCGTTTTGGAAACAGTAAAAATGCTTCCCAAATGCCTGTCTGCCGCTTGCTAACAAGGCTAGTGTGAACGTAGCCTTAAGCTGCTCGTTAGACAATTGTACAATTTTCCCTTAGATTTACCAAAACCATATAATATGAGGTCAAACTTAAACACTTTAAATTTGTATGCAGCCAGGCAGGCCCTTGCAACACATAAGTGAAGGTGAATCTAAAGGAAATTGAATAAGAAGTTTGTATAATGTATGGCCAATTTAAAGCTGGGTAAACACTTCACTTCACTTTGTGTGGTGCTGTATGATTTCAGCCCATTCAAATGAAACACACTGTACTCAAATCTCACAGTAATCCTGGTTTGAACCAGCATGTACTGTGTATGTATTTGCTTGCTTGGTGTTCAGCTTTACCATACTGCTTGTTTAATGTGTTTGGATTTAGACCTGTGGTCATCTATAAGGTATAAATAGCATAATATATATATCTTTTTTTTTTTTTTTTTTTTTTTTTTCAGAGGTATGAAGGTAATAGAGAACAGAGCAATGAAGGATGAAGAAAAAATGGAAATTCAGGAAATGCAACTCAAGGAAGCCAAACATATTGCAGAGGAAGCAGATCGCAAATATGAGGAGGTAAGAAAGTCTAATTGTTAATTGATGAAGATAGAGCAGATATACAAGATGCTGGTATCCTTTATTGCTTTAGAGACCATTTGCAAAAACTAAATATTACACTTCATATGGCAGCAAAATATTGCACTTTATATCGCAACAAAATATTACCCCATCCCTCGCTTCCTCCCATCTGCCCTAACCCATCCTGCAGTTGTTTTTTTTTTTGTTTTTTTTTCTCCTTGCCTTGTGAAGCAGGTTTTACCATCCCAGGGTCTTCAGTGGGACTGGTTGCAGGGGACCACTAAACCAGCACTGCAAGCAAGTGCTCCTCCCCCAGCCAGTCCCCTTGCTATTGTGTCACTTTCCTTCTGGATCTGACAAGAGGCTGCCACTGGACATTCAATAGGAAGTGTCTTATTATGAAGGTAGTGATGTGGACACATGAAAGAGGACACCTAATGTAAACAAAGGCTGAGAGACTGAACGGGAGAATCACAAAAAAAAAATCATCCTACAATAGAAGAAGATTGATACTTACCTCTTTTGTGGGCGGTGCCTCCAATCTTTGCTCTATTAAAGTGTTACTAAACCCACAACAGTAAAATCAGTCTGTATATGCAGTAAAGCATGCTTGTTATGCTCACTGTGGAACTTAAGGGGTTAATCCTCTGCATTGTGTAAAAAGGATGTTTAATCCTGTCTTCTCTGATCCACCCCTTTTTCCACCTTCCCCATTTCATCTCCTGATAGAACACAGCCTTGAGGACACTCTGTACATGCTAGAGTTTTTTTCTTTTTCTTGAGAGAGTGCAAGTGATCAGCACAGGGCCAATCAGCACTGTCCAGACAGAGGGTCAGGGGTTATGCAATCTCATAGGGCAGTGAGAGGAAAATGAAAGGCCTACAAGCTTTCACTAGTGCTTAGCTGGACACTGATAGAAGTCACAAGACTGCTATATACTGCTGATGAGAAAAGGTATTTTAGCAGTTTATATTTACTAAAATATTTGCATTTCCATGTTCTGTATATTGTGGCAGACCAGATATAGTGAATGCAGGGTCCTGGGTTTAGTAACACTTTAAAGAGCTATAGCCACTGAAAAATCACACTTTGGACATATTGGATGCCTGGCCCCCCTCTATACTCTGTGATTCCTTCCACAAGCCTCTTTGGAGGATTGAGTAGATCAGTGGCGGGCAACCTTTTTTTTCAACTGAGCCAAATCTCACCAAAACCACGATTGAAATTTATTTTGAGAGCCACATTTTTAAAACTGAAAATACATAGGATGGTACATTGTTTTTAGTTTCAATAAGTTTTTATAGTAATTCATCCCCCATATAGTAATTCATCCCCCATATAGTAATTCATCCCCCATATAGTAATTCATCCCCCCTATAGTAATTCATCCCCCATATTAATTCATCCCTCATATAGTAGTAGTAAGTATGTAGCAAGTAGTAAGCCAAGTCCCCCCTGTGTCAATTCACTAACCTCCGCGCGTTCTTCTCGCCGTGTTCTCGCACCGTTCCGGTCTTCAGGGCGGACTGTGAGAGGAGCCTAGCTCCTCTCACGTTCGTCACGCTGCCCCGCCTACACACATCCTGACAGCCAATCACTGGCTATCAGGATGTGAGTGGCAGCGAGACTGGCCAATCATTGCATTTGAGCGCGCTGCCCTGGCTGTTTTTATTTATTTTTTTTGGATCACGCTCTGCGGGCCAGATTAAAAGGTCCGCCGGGCCGTAGTTTGCCTAGCTGCAGAGTCCTGACTTTTGGGGCGGCCGCCCGAGAGGAGGGAGGGGAGCGGGCGCCCGGCACACAGAAGAGCCGCATTAAAGTGTGTAAAGAGCCGCATGTTGCTCGCGAGCCGCGGCTTGCCGACCACTGGAGTAGATAATACCACAGTGATCAGAAGGGTCCAGGCATCTAACATCCTGGAAATGTATTCAGTGCCTGTGATTTTTTTTTTTTTTTTTTTTTTTTTCCCCCATAAAGTGGACTTACTCTAGCATAAAGAAACTTGACTTGATTTGCCTCCTTCAGGATCACGGTTTACAGGATAACTTTTAGATGCAGGTTTGTACTGTGTTCTTCTAGTATTTTACATATCTTGCCAACATGGTCTGTGTTAATATACATAGTACTAAAGGAAAAGTTAATTTACTTTACAGGTAGCTATGTTAGTATCTGGTTTAATTTTTATTGGTAAATGGTGCATTATCGCAGTTGTGTGCATTATCTACAGTGGCAAATCACAAAGATATATAGCCAACCTCTCAATGCACTTTTTTGCACTGATTTTCAGCTGTTGATTTCTGTTTAGTGGCAGAATAATGTAAAAAGTGTAAATAATTCTTAGGTTTTCAGTGCTGTACAACACGATTCCCATGTGACAAAAGCAATAAATATTAGTAGCCTAAGTGCTTTGTTGTAACACTGTCATTCAGTGTTTTTGTTACTCAAGCCTTTACCTGGTTCCTTTATCATTCTCTGTGCAGGTAGCTCGTAAATTGGTCATTCTTGAGGGAGAGTTGGAGAGAGCAGAGGAGCGAGCTGAAGTATCTGAACTGTAAGTTTCTTGTCTTGCACTAATCCGTGGATATTGTTATTGATACTACTATAATTTGTGCTTCTTTACAAACCATACTCTTGGGCAACTAAGCAAAGATCAGAATGGGGTAAAACAATCAAAACATGCAATAAACAATCACTACACTGTTCCCTTTTTGTTTTTTGTTTTTTTTGTTTTTTTTTTTTTTTTTCTTCTTCACTAGTTGTCAGTGTGTAAACGTGAGAAATCTGAAAGTGAATCTTACATCTGGCTGTTTGCTATGGGCAAAAATACCAGTAGTGCATGGAGTGCTACACCTTGGGGTTGATTGTTTAACCCCTTCATGCCGGCGCCTCCCAGCCCTTTAAGGGTTTCAGAAGCCGGGAGGTGGGGCGAGGTTTAGGGTCATGTGACCGCCGTGATGGTCACATGATCGGAAAAGGTCCTGATCGAAAGAGGAGATCGGGACCTTTCCGTGAGTACCGGACATGTGTGCTGGGAGCGCGCAGGGCGCGCGCTTTTTTAGCACATATGTTCTTTTTTAATAGAACGCAAAAGTGCGGCCGCTCGGCGTCTAGGCCCAGACACCGGGAGGCCGCACATTTGCTTTCGGCTGGCGTGAAGAGGTTAAAACTGGAGAGTGCAAAATCTGGTGGAGCTGTGCATGGTAGCCAAACTTCTTCTATTTTAATTTTCTGTTATGAAACCAAAGAAAAAAGATTTGTCGTCTTGAGACTGCAATAAGCACTGTATTGTCTGGCATTAAAGCTGAACTTTTGCCTAAAAATGGTTTTAACCTTATATTTTTAGTGACCTAACATTACCTATAATAAAGTATGTTACATGTCATGCAGGCAGGTGGATCCTGGAGAAATTTTCACTGCAGGGATGCCCAGCCTCTTTCCTGTCTCTGAACTTCAGGTGCTGCAATGGTTAATAGCTTTGGGTCTCCAGGCTGAACTGGATAGAAAAAGAGCCGGAGGGGTACCTGCCTCCTCAGCCATTGAGAAGTTATTTCACTGCTTGTAAACGAATCCCTGAATGAGGAAGAGTCTAATGAATGACAGTACTTTCTCCCCCATTCAGGGTTTGTGTTGCTCACAGTCAGAGTTTCTTAATGGAGGGGGCAGATATCTGTTAGGGGGTTTTTCTGTTGAATTCTGCCTGGACACCTGAAGCTATTAACCACCGCAGCACTGGAAGTTCAAAGCCAGGAGGAAGACAGGCATCCCTGCACTGGAGAATTCATAAGGATCCAGCAATTTTTTTTTTTATTTAGCTTTAAATATGTCATTGGATTTCTATGATAACCAGTTAGTTGAGGATATGAAAGTCAGAAAAAAACGGATTTAAACATAGTAATTTGTTCAATTGCTCTTCAGAAATGAGCCTGGTGCTTCAGTTTCTAAAGTGTATTCAACCCAACCACAAAAATTTAATAAATTGCATCTTACCAATCCTTAGATTAGGTGGTTGCTTTAATTTTTCGTAAATTTTTCCCCCCCTATTTTTACTTGGTACTCACACCAGTAACACACTTCCTGACATAGGGCAAACACATAGGGTTATTGTACTGTATGGAGGAGCAGTGTGGTCCTCCTAGAACAAGACTAAAGAACACCTTCCAATCGTCTTTTCCTCCTAACATGGGTAGGAGTTCAGTAGTCTGTAGAATGCAATGACGGTTAGCAAAAAGTACAGAGGTCACTAAATTTCTGGCAGGAGTAATGGGTACTTTTTTTTTTGTACTTATTAAACAAACACGTTCAATGGTATAGTTAACAGCAAAGAGGAGCAAATTGTAAGAAGTTAATTGTTAGGGTTTACGTAGACTGTAGGTCGTATAGAGAATTGTTTAGTATTAATATATTTAAAATTATATGTGCCTGTTGGACACAAAGTATATTTTAGAGATCAGTTAAATCCAGTGCTGTAACTTTTTTGTCTTTGAGAATAACTCAGTTTCAGGTCTGCTGGCTGTGCTCTCTCTCCTCTCTCTCTCCTCTCTCTCTCCTCCCCCCTCTCTCCTCTCTCTCTCTCTCCTCCCCCCCTCTCTCCTCTCTCTCTCTCTCCTCCCCCCCTCTCTCCTCTCTCTCTCTCTCCTCCCCCCTCTCTCCTCTCTCTCTCTCCTCCTCTCTCTCCTCCCCCCTCTCTCTCCTCCCCCCTCTCTCTCCTCCCCCCTCTCTCTCCTCCCCCCTCTCTCTCCTCCCCCCTCTCTCTCCTCCCCCCTCTCTCTCCCCCTCCCCCCTCTCTCTCCCCCCTCCCCCCTCTCTCTCCCCCCTCCCCCCTCTCTCTCCCCCCCTCCCCCCCCCTCCCCCCTCTCTCCCCCCCCCCTCCCCCCTCTCCCCCCCCCCCTCCCCCCTCTCTCTCCCCCCCTCCCCCCTCTCTCTCTCCCCCTCTCTCTCCCCTCTCTCTCCCCCTCTCTCTCCCCTCTCTCTCCCCCTCTCTCTCCCTCTCCTCTCTCTCCCTCTCCTCTCTCTCTCTCCTCCCCCCCCTCTCCTCTCTCTCTCTCTCCTCCCCCCCCTCTCCTCTCTCTCTCTCCTCCCCCCCCTCTCCTCTCTCTCTCTCCTCCTCCCCCCCCCCTCTCCTCTCTCTCTCTCCTCCCCCCCCCTCTCCTCTCTCTCTCTCTCCTCCCCCCCCCTCTCCTCTCTCTCTCTCCTCCCCCCCCTCTCCTCTCTCTCTCTCCTCCCCCCTCTCCTCTCTCTCTCTCCTCCCCCCCTCTCCTCTCTCTCCCCCCCCCCCTCTCTCTCCCCCCCTCTCTCTCTCCCCCCCCTCCTCTCCTCTCTCTCCCCCCCCCCTCCTCTCCTCTCTCCCCCCCCCTCTCTCCCCCCCTCTCCTCTCTCTCCCCCCTCTCCTCTCTCTCCCCCCTCTCCTCTCCCCCCCCTCTCTCTCCCCCCCCTCCCCCCTCTCTCCTCCCTCTCTCTCTCCCCCCCTCCCCCTCTCTCCTCTCTCTCTCTCCTCCCCCCTCTCTCCTCTCTCTCTCTCCTCTCTCTCTCCTCCCCCCTCTCTCCTCTCTCTCTCTCTCCTCTCTCTCTCTCCTCCCCCCTCTCTCCCTCTCTCTCTCTCCTCCCCCCCCTCTCCCCCCCTCTCTCTCCTCTCTCTCCCCCCCCTCTCTCTCCTCTCTCCCCCCCTCTCTCTCCTCTCCTCCCCCCCCCCCCTCTCTCTCTCTCCTCTCTCTCTCCCCCTCCCCCCCCTCCCCTCTCTCTCCCCCCCTCCCCCCTCTCTCTCCCCTCTCTCTCCCCCCTCTCTCTCCCCCCTCTCTCTCTCCCCTCTCCCTCTCTCCCCCTCTCCCTCTCTCTCCCCCTCTCTCTCCCCTCTCCCCTCTCTCCCCCCCCCCCTCTCCCCCTCTCCCCCTCTCTCCCCCCCCCCTCCCCCCCTCTCCCCCTCTCTCTCCCTCTCCCCCTCTCTCCCTCTAAAAGCAATATTGTATGTTTTTATTTCAGTAAATGTAGTGATTTGGAAGAAGAACTGAAAAATGTAACCAACAACTTAAAATCTTTGGAAGCTCAGTCTGAAAAGGTGAGTAATGCTGATATTGTGTAGCTGATATTGTATTTTGTCCAGTACCCAGAAAAATCTGATTTTTGCCTGTATTCCAAATAATTGCCAAGCATAATTTGGGAAATATTTCCTTTTGAAGTGAACTATTTTTTTTTTTTTTTCTTTAAGTTTGTATGTGTTAAGAAAAACTTCAGTTTTTAATTACTTTTCCCTCACTTTCTGCTTGCAAAGTTACTATTACAGTTCCTGGAAGAATTGGTGCACCCAACAGTACAATGTACGCGGAGATTGCTGATTCTCTCTGCAGAGGCAATAATCCTTCCTCTGACTTGGATTTTATAAACATTTGTACTCACATCAGCAGAAATAAACTCTTGTTTGCTGATTTAAGTATAAGTTTCAGGAAGGTAGCTCATGCGACTGCATGGTAGAGTATACTGTATGGTCAAAAGTTTTGTGCACATCGGTTCTTCACACCTATATGAGCTTATTGGACATCCCATTCCAAAAGCAGTTGTGTGCAAGTTCATTGCAAAGTTCATTAGGGTTGAGGTCAGGGTTCTGTGCAGTCTACTTGAGTTTCTTGACCCCAAACTCCTCAAACGTGACTTTGCACACATGGGCATAGTCTTGCTGAGTTGCAAAGGGACGTTCCCCAAACTTTTGCTGCAAGGTTGAAAGTGCACAATTGTCTAAAATTAGACATGACCACCTTTTTGCTAGGTAGTCTCACAAGAAAGTCGCCTTTTAAATACTGTGTGAAGAACTAGTGTTGATGGGTAAATACATTCTGCAGTCCCTTCATTTCCAGGAAGTATGTACCTATGCATAGACTTATAATGGTGTGATTTATGTGTTTTTGTCTTTATAGTATTCTGAAAAAGAAGACAAATATGAAGAGGAAATAAAGATCTTAACAGATAAGCTAAAAGAGGTAAGGCAGTGGAAGGATGTGTTTATGCAGTACATAGTGGTCTTGTCTTCTCCCTCTCTCCCTCTCCCTCTCCTCTCCTTCTTCACTGAACTTCTGATAATGGGAAAGGGGTGTTGTCGACATTTACAGAGAGCTGTTTTGACAATGTGGGGGAGTAAAGAGATACTTTAACTGCTGTAGAATATCTGACCACTGAGCACTTTCTTGTGCACTCCATATAGTTTAATTCTATCTCATTCACAGGCTGAAACCCGGGCTGAGTTTGCAGAGAGAACAGTTGCCAAACTAGAAAAGACTATTGATGACCTTGAAGGTAAATTATTTTTACTTCTTGCAACAGCTTTTTTTTTTCCATTTGTAAAATGCTGTCTCTGTGTCGTGTGTACACACATTGTTCCTATATAGCAGGGGTGTGGAATTAAAATTCAGAGGTCCGGTCAGTAAAATTTTCTTCTAGTAGGGGTCCCAGTATCATATTTGTGCTATGATCCAGATCTTTCATATCAAGCCCCTCCCAACCCGTACATTGCAGTTTCCCCTTTATATCACAGCCCTTTTCACATCGCAGTCTCCCCTTTACACCACAGTGCCCCCTTTTTACATTGCAGACCCCCCCTCCTCTTTACATTAGTGTCCTTCTTTATATTACAGCACCCCCTCTTTACAATGCAGCCCTCTTTACATGACATTATCCCCCTTCACATCACAGACCCACTTTGCATTACAGTGCCCCCATTTACAACACAGCCCCCCTTTACATCACAGCACTCCCCTTTACAATATAGCCCCCCTTTACATCACAACATCCCTTTTACAATACAGCCCCCTTTTACATTACAGCACCCCTTTACAACACAGCTGCACTGTACATTACATTGCCCCCTCATTTACATCACAGCCCCCCTTTACACCAGTGTCTCCTTTCCTTCAGTGTCCGCAGTCCCCTTTCACATCACAGCCCCTCTCCTTAAATCATAGACCTCACATCACAGTTCCCCTCACCTTCACATCAGTGTTCTGTCACCCCTTCATATCACAGCCTGCTCTTTATATCTAAGTTCCCATAACTGCTCTCACCTTACATCACAGCCTCCCCTTTTCTTGTATCCCAGTCCCTTTCACAGCCCCCTTTTCCTTGCACCCTAGTCCCATTCACAGCCACAACCCCCCCCCCCCTTTTCTCTGTATACCAGTCCCTTCACAGCTTTCCTTTAACATCCATTTACAATCCCCAGTCCCCTTTACATGAACATTGCCCCTTACAGTCAGCCTTTGTACCTTGCACAGTGGTTGGCAGATGGGGCCTCAGGGTGTTTGGATGGCAGGCAGGACAGCCCAGCATTTCCTGTTGGCAGGTAGGTGATTGGTAGATGGGACTACCCCCTGTCATGGCGACAAGTCATTGTCTTGTGAACTTGGGCGTTCCCACCATTTGTTCAAGTGTGCCACGCCTTCTGCCTGCCAGCTGCTGTAGTAATGAAAGCTGTGGTGGCAGCGGGGGAAGGAATTCGTCAGCCGGTAGAGGACACTCAGGCTACTGGGTGGTGGAGCCACGGTCCGGATAAGACTGTCATTCGGTCTGTGTTTGTACTCCGATCCACCATTTAGTGAAGCCTGCTGTATAATGTACTTATTTTTTTGCTTCCTGTGTAAAAAATGACAAGTAGCTGAAGTTATATGCAAAATTTAACTTTTTCTGTAACACAAATGAAGTTGGCCCTGCCCCGCTTGCTCGTTGTGCTTCCCCTATTGGTCATATACAAAGCCTGTCTTCTTTAATCAACAGAAGGGAAGCTTGGGGATGGGGCCAAACTTGCCTTCACAGGAGAAAATTGAGAATTCCATGTAACTTTGTCTGTCTGGATCTACTAGTGATTTTAATACTTGTGTTTCACTATGTGAAATTCTGCTAATATAGATTTCATTGAATACTTAACGTAAATTACCAGATTAAGACCATGTTTACTTTTAAAGTCCTGGTTTATACCATTTCAAGATATTCCACACGTCCATTAGAATACTTTTGGAAATTATGTCTGTTTACACTAAGCAGAATTCAGTGGAGGACTTCAGTTGGGGTTATGAGCATTGATAGACAAATTATTGCAAATTAATAATTGCAGTAACCTTCTGTTCCCCTGACTCAGAACGCTACAGTTAAAGTAGCTAACATCCAATGGTCCCTGTCCCCTACCTGAGCCAGCATCTTCTGCTGGGTGCTGTTCTTCGACCATCTTAATTGGCCACTGGGCATGCACAGGAGTAAGTCATCCTGGCACAGAGGGTCCGTGCCAGCAATGTAACGGCTCAGCTTACATGCCGGAGAAGACAGCAAGCAGGCAGGGAAGTGTATTTTATTTTAGAGGAGACATTGCATGTCTCTTTTGCAATAAAGAGCCTGCCTGCTTGCAGCTTGTGACAACAGAAAATTAGTTTTGTTTTAAGTGGTGGTATCTAAGTACTGGTCATCTTTAACTGACTACAGGAGTGTAATGAAGGCTAAACAGCCTTCATTACACTCCTGCCTTCTTCTTTCTGTTCTTAGCATCTTTCTCTTCCACAATATCCTTTTTCTTTCCTATTTCTATTATTTTAAATACTTATTCTTAATACTGAGATGAAATTGTGTCACCTGTGTATAAGTGTGTCTTTGTTTTCTTTAATTTCAAAATTATTATTCTGAACTGTGTCATTGGCAAAAATATAAGGGCATTTTGAAAGCAGTAAATGTGACATTCACATGGTGGTGAAACAATCACTATCATGAAAAACATGCACCCCAAGAGGATTCACCTGCTAATAAGCTGAATATCAGGTTCACTGCTTTTTAAGTATGCTGTATAGTTTTACTAAAACTAAAGAGTACAGATTTTTCTTTCCTACGCTTGGCTTTTGTTATGAAGTCCTTTACTTAGTTGAACAAATAGTCACATACACATTTCAGGACCACTAGATAAGTTACTTGTATAATAATGAGAGGAGAACAGACAATGAACCGTGTCCTTGGAGGGATTCAAACCAGGGACACCGAACTGTGAGGCAGAAGTGCCACTTAGGCTGGTCATAGATGCTTTGTTTTTTTTTTATCAGCCATTGGGCTGATGAAAAAAAATTAACCAGAATTCCCTATCCACACAAGCGAGGTACATGGAGGAATCCTCTGGTGTAAAGTTGTTTGAATGCTAAGTTCACCTTTACAGAAAAAATAAATGCTATTTTTTTTGCATAGATGCTTTGTTTTTTTTCGATAAAAAAAGTTTGTTTAAAAAAAAAAAAAAAAAGCCAGATTCCCCCATTTACACAAGCGAGGTAGATAGAGGAATCCTCCCCGCTGTATTCTGACAGTGGGATTCCTTTGCTGTCAGAATACATCACTGGATTGGCTTTTGTAAAGCACTAATAACCATAGATGGAACGAAATTCGTACTGTTCCTGCTGATCCGGCCGGGTTTCGATCCACCTATGGCCAGTTTGAGCCTCCAGACTGTCTCTTTTCTGTATGTCTCTGTGTTTTACATGTTCAAACTTTTATTTCTAGTATAAAGTTGTTTAAAGCGCACCTTTACAGTAAAAATAATACATTTTTGCAGGACAAAAATTATTTTTTTTATTTTTCTAGCGGGAGCTTGGAAAACATTGCACCTGTTATGAGTAGATCATGGTGCTATGTGGGCTCCTGCAGACATGTCCTCTGGCTTTCAGCCTGTACCTTTGTACAAGCTTCCTGTTTGACAGCTGGAAGACGTGTTGGTGGACTACGAGAGTGCCCAACAAAGTCCCTGCAGCCTATTGAAACTACAAGTCCATCTGCCCTGGTGGCTGGGGAGAGGGGGCAGGAGCTGGAACATGTTACACGTTTCACCCTAAATATGTGGGAAACATGTAACCTGTCCTAAAATTGAACTTGGCCTTTAAAGCTTATCTCCCAGGTATGATGTTAATTGCTTAGGTACATTGGTCCAGTTTGATTTAAACTATAAAGTTATTATATATCTGAAGTCTTAGTCTATCTTAACCGACTTACCTATAATAAATCTTACCAGTTTCAGAGATGAAATGTTACTAACAAAATCTACTACAGTAGGTATTACCAGCATTCATTAGATTGCCTGCATAAAACAACTACTAAATGCTGATTACTGCTTAGTTGCTATGAGTTACTGCACATCATTGAACTATAATCCCATATAAACACAATCTTTTAGAATGACCATATTTAAAAATGTTAGTTCTGTATAAGCTGTATATAAAGATTAATTATGTAATCATGTTTTCGTATTTTATTTTTCATGCTGTCTCACTTTGCTCTTCATCAATATTCGGTTCTTCTCCTGTCCTTCTGAATCATTCCTGCTACTTCTGTCTGGTAGATGAGTTGTATGCCCAGAAGCTCAAGTACAAAGCTATCAGCGAGGAGCTTGACCATGCTCTCAATGATATGACGTCATTGTAGACCCTCTTTGGTTTTATGTGATGTGGCATTTCTGTTCTGTCAGCTACTCTTTTCTCTTTGAATTTCCTCACTGTTGTCAATCTCTCTGAGAAATAAAAGTCTCTCCACACCTTTTAAATTCTATCTTTCTTCCTTTAACGTGTGTGTTATGCATGTATGACTGAGCAAACACTACAAAAAGGTGAAGGTTTTTAGGTTTTGTTTTTTTTGTGTTTTGTTTTTTGTGATAACTGAAGCAAACTACATGGAGTACACACTGCTATGGGTTTATGGACCATGTATATCTCTAGACAATATTTTGTTTTGGTTAATTGCTTTGGTAAGGGTAGCTTCTCATTTTGACACTTTCTCACTTGGTTACATATATACTGTAGCACTTACGTTTTGCATGTTCAGACAGGGCACTTACTAAAGTCACCAAAGTTGTATTAGTAAAATATAGCTTGCATCCCTTATTTCCAAAAAAAACAGACTGTAATAGGACAGATCCTTTAATTGTTCTGTCTTCGTTTCAGACAAGTTGGCTAATGCCAAAGAAGAAACTATGGGAATGCATCAAGTTTTGGACCAAACACTACTTGAACTCAACAATTTATAATCAGAAGTGAAGAAAAATCCTGCACATCATTCCTTTTTTTAAAGTCTGTCATTCTCACTTATTATCTTTTAACATTCCAGGGGAAAGCAGCAATGAATGCGACCAAATATTTTATTTTTTAAAAGAAACCGTTCACAAATATGAGCTTAAACCTCATTGTGCCGTGCCTTTTTTAATATTTCTTTTTTTAATGCTAAGGTCCCATGTACATTATTACTAGATTAGTCACAATTGTCTTCAGTGTTTTTGTCTCTTATGTTATTCTGTTACAAGACCACAAAGTGTTGAAAGCTATTACAGAAGTATGGGAAGCCCAACAAATAAAACAAAACTAGGAAAAGTGTTATTTGTAACAATGTTATGGTGGTTGTTGTGAAAATATAAATTCTTTTATTAAATATGGCACATTTTGGATACAATTATATGGTTTTAAGTCAAAATTAATGCTTTTACATTGAAGGAGATCTGAATTTAATACACTGAAATATTCAAATAACTGCAGTAAATTTGCTAAGAAGTTTTAAGAACCTAAATGAACCGTATGCAATCCAGAATACTGGCCACAACGGCAGTATCAACATTAGAGCTTTTCATAGACTGTTCCGAGAGTGTATGCTCTGAATATACTTGCCACTTGAGAGATTGCACTGTTCAATTACTTAGCAAGTTGGCCTGTTGAATGTCTAGCCAGGACATTTTTTGACCCGGTCAGTAGTCATGTTGTTGAGCACATGTGTACAGGTTTTGTAGTGGTATTGAGGCACCATCATCTTATTTTTCTTGGTTCTAATTTACACTTGTATGTGAGCACACAATATTCTGTCTGAATGTGGACTGCTCTGGAGCTTGACGTGTTGATGGGCTTCCAAACCACATCATACAAACAGAGTGAACCTGAAGACAATGCTGAAGAGGGAGCCCATTCACCTAGGCTGTCCATCCACTGGATCAGTGTGCTTTCTGAGTCCTGCTGTATATCACTACAGCCAAGGCTGATGATCTACCTGTGAGAGATTTATCGTGTGTTTTGCCGATTACCTGGATTGATGATCATATACATGCGCATATTTAATGCACGGTCGGTGAGTGAGTGTGCATTTTTTCTACACAGTTCCAGTCACCTATTTAATTTAAGGAAGACTTTCACGTCAAGTTCTTCTCAGATTCTGTATATTTATGAAGATTTCATGAACTTTACATATTCATTTATTTTTATATTCACTCAAATCGCAGCGCTGCACTATACTTATATGATTTATGTTACAAGGTTTTGGTGATTCCTTTGAGTGTTCTAGCAGCTGAATATGTGAGCGCTCGCTATATTTCTTTTCATAGTAGTCATGTTATATTCTGGGGACACGTGGGACTGGACCTCTGAAGTCAATCCAGACTGGGAGATAAACAAGCCACTTACAGTTAAGTAAAAATTATATTCCTGCACTTGTCAATGGCAATATTAACCTTCACAATAAGCAAAGGCCTGAGGCACCAAGCAAATGCAGTACTACTGCCATAAGCAAAAACATGCACAGCTGGATGATCCAAGCTCGCGTGTTTGTTCTATGACTGCGTAAGTTCTCCAGTTTCAATAATTTTTATTAAAGTTTTTGAAAGTGCAAGTGTACAATGAACAAAGAAATAGAACATTTCACAATGGCTTATGCATAGCTTACATTACATATAGTGTTGGTAGATTTACATAGAAAGGGTCAAATATAACTTTTGTAGCCCTCTGTGCCTTTTGATTACTAACTAGGGCGAACAGTGACCCTTGTACCAGCCAAGGGTGAGCAGAGATGTAAACTCCTTGTAGAGTGTGGTTGGTGCAAAGAGGGGTCAGTGCTGTTTCAAAGCTTATGTCACCCCAAAAAAAGGGGGCCGATTGGATACTGATGTTGATTAGTGAATGACTGAGAAACTTCTTTATACACACTTAGCCCATTTATGTTATACATCGGGCTACATTAAGACAAAATGTAACCACTCACAAGTGCACTATGTAATTGCCCTCTTCTTTAGATTTACTATGTAATGAGGACCTAATGTTGGTTCTCTCACTGCATTGGTAAATTACATTATTTGGTTAGGTTGGAATGTTTATGGGTCCAGCTTTATTCACACCATCAACTCATAAACAAAGAATGCATTTAAAGGATATTTTCAAATCTGATACTGCAAGTATACTGTACATGTGCAAAGGTTTGGATATATTGGGTTATAAATGTTATGTTTGATGATCTCCGTGAAAAGAAGTTGACACCGCCTCTATAAATAAAAAAATGGAAAGATGACCTGGTTCTGCAGATTTTAATATTGTTACCTTTTTTTCCTCTGAATATAACATTGAAGAAAAATATAACATGCACTGAAAAAAGTAATGCTATTAGATAAACTGGGTGGCTGCCAAAATGTTTGCACATTTTAAAGGTTTGAATTGACTTATTAGGCCTTGGTCAAATTCAAAGTCTATTAAAGCTGCTTTTTTTTCGTAGTTTAAAGCTGGACCAATTTTAAAGTGGAACTTTTAGATCCCAAAATAAAAAGGGTGAACAGGCAGGAATTTGAATGCATTAAAGTTAATTACCTGCCTCTCTGCCCCTGTTGGCAATGCCAAATCTGACTGAACTCCCAAGCATGTGCTGGAGTGATGTCATCCCTGCCCAGCCAATGACAGTGGCTGGCAATCGAGACCTGGAAGCTGGCCACCCATAGATGTCAGCAGTGGGTGGGGTGCTCCGGGACATTGAATCACTGGAGTTCAGGTGAGTATAGTTCAGCTTTAAGTAGTCATATACCATACCTGTGATATCCCTGTGAAAGGTGACAATCATTGTAGTAGTCACCACTGTTACAGTGATCACCACTCTCTTTGGTCCTGCGTGGAACACTGCCCTGCTGCATGGTGATTATTGGATAACAAAATGAGCTAAGCATGCTAGTTATCCTGAAACTAGCTTCTTATGCTGCAAATTATGCTCAGCGTCTGTTACAAATCGTGGAAACACAGACCTTACATTGAAACAAATGCGGAGATTCTTCAACAGAAAAAGGGAAAGATTCTGCAGCTACTACAAATTGCTCTTCCATTTTTACTTGTGTGACACGCCAAACTTACCTTTTAGTAAGCCCCCACCATGATTTAGACATGTGAGAATCGAAAAGTAAGTGACACCGGTCATAGTGCTGGACAGAGCTTAACCGTAAGATTTGTGATAATATTGACACTACTTGCAACGCCCCAAAAATCTCTGTTAAATCTCACTGTCCACATTCTAGTGTCAGCAATATTGTGCCCCTTGAAATATTACTTCCAGAAATATCTCCAGTCTCTAGCTCAGCTCCTTGACCCAACTGCACAGCACATTTGGAAACATATCTCTGTCTACTGGCTGAGCAATCCTAGGACTGCTTTTTTTTTTTTTTCCCCTCTCTTCTTCTCTGAGATATACAGTGGTCAATCTGAGCATAAATTAGCAATTTACTAAGTTCTGTGACTAGAGCCTACAATGCAAGTCTTGAATTTCAGGCAGATTCATGCTGAATCAGATGAAACTAGAGCCATGAGTGGCCCATTTGGCACCACCTGGCTTGACCAACTTTGATTAAAAAAAAAAAATCGGCCGACGACCATGTCTGCCGAACCATGTCTGCATCCAGACCTGTTTGGGTGTTCAGACAGCCCAGGTGCCAACTGTCTGAATACAATAGTTGGCACACAGGAAATTTCTCCATAGCATTTCTATATAGCAGTGATTGGAAGAGTCGATTAGATTTCTTTCATTCAGCCTGTGGGTTGAACTAGGGGAAATGTGTATATATAGATAGACAACTATTATAGCCCAGCTGTTACATTGTCATTTTACTCAGAATTACAGCTTTATACTGTTTTCAGAAACATAAAAAAAGACTGGTTGATTATCTCACGTCCCATTATTGAGAATGTACATAACATTAATAGGAATACATCCTGGTACGATATTATTATACAGGATTTATATAGCACCAACAGTTTGCGCAGCGCTTTACAAAATGAAGGTAGACATTACAGTTACAATACAATTTGGTACAAGAGGAAACAGATGTATATCTTCTTGTTACCAGCAGACTAAATGGGGCCATACACGCATTGCTTTGTAATCAATCTAGATACGAGCAATCACAAGCAAGCAATTCATCATTGATTAAAATACTGACATATGCTACACATCAATATCAGTTGAAAAAGCTGATTTAATCATTCAGTATTCTGATCTGGTGCACATGTATTCAAGCATCTAGATAAAAAATGCAGCGCTAAATCCAATATGAATATCAATATATCTCACATAAATTAAATACAAAGTGACAGGTCATAATAAACAAATTAGAGCGCTGAAGATAAGCGCATAAAGTGACAATAGTG